CCCCCCCCCCCCCCCCCCCCCCCCCCCCCCCCCCCCCTCTCCCCTTGCCGGCATATCATTGATAGGTGCATTACAAATCGGGGTTAGATACGTCTGCTACGCAGGCTAGTGGTTCTCGCAAATTCCATCCAATGGTGACTGTTTCTAGTTTATCTGCTAATAATCCCTTCAGCAAGTCTAGCCAAACTAACTTATTGCTCTTTTGCAGGAGTGATAAAACTTGCGGTCTTCTCGAGCATTTTATGGCTGCTGTTGACAATCTTATATAGGTCTGTTCAGTCCTCTCCGCTAACCTTCATTCTTGTCCGTATTTGTGGTGCGTTGTTTATGGTACTTCCTCCTGTCAATTATATGAGAGTACTGTTCTTTATCCGTCGTCATAACGCCCAACTAAGTGTTGCTCTTCCGTCTCAGATGACAACAGTTTTTCAGCGCGAGAAGAAAGTAGCACTTGACATGTCCATTGTCACCGTCTTGCTGTTCGCTTCTATCTCACCAGCTATGTCCGTGGCGTTACTCCGAAACCAATATCCAGGCGTTTACTCTATTCTGTTTCCTTGGAGTTTAACAATGGCGTCTGTTCTCTCCTCTGTCAATCCGATAATTTATTTTGGACGGAACAAAAACATGAGAAGAGCCTTTAAGTCCATAATGAACCTCTAATGGCACGAGTTTCGCCGAGGAGAACCTTGGAGAGTGCATCACGGCTCCACAGGGCTCTGTGATTGCCTTAGTTTAGTGAGATCAAAGAAATATTTTTTTCGTAAAATGAGGTGACATATGTCTCATAGATTATCTCGCATTCATTAAAAATTCGTCTTGTTTTTCTTTAATAACAAAACAACGTTTTTTAGACCTAGGTCAAATTTGGTTCACTTAATAGTTACAGTCTAGCTGAAAACAGAAACCAGAAGCAGAGAAAATTCACTTTATAAAGGACTACGGAGGGCACAAGGCACGAAGAGGATAGGTGAGGTGAGGTGAAAGGTTGCACTCAATATTTTCCTCTCCTATTTCTTGTAACCAGGCTAGGTATCATAAAAGGCATGATGTATTTAACACAGTGTTAAATAATAGTCTTTCTGGATTGCTGGTGCAATGAGTATGCCTGAGGCTCGCATATTGCTTACCTTCGACGAACTCATTTTGTGAACACAGAAAGGTGCAACAGTTCAACAAACAACCATGTTCATGACTGTAATTACATACGGAAAACTACTTTATAAAACTCCTTGTGGAATAGGTTCCCAAAAGGGGTACAGACGGTATCACAACAACAACAACACCAAAAGCTTTATTTGCATGACCATAAAGGAATTACAGTATTGCAAAAGCTATTAGTCTAAATTTAAGTACTAATTCAACTAATTAGTACGTGCAAAACATTACAAAACGTTACAGTTCTCATTCATTCATTCATTCATTCATTGATATTAATTTGGTTCTTAATTCAAGGCATTGCGAGATAAATGAAACTAATTGACAGTTAATTAAATAAACAGAAGAATTCATAAGAAGAGATATTAAAGTATCGTGTGAAAGTGATTTGAAGTCAGGTATTTTAGTTTCTAGTTTGGAGAAAAATATGTCTCTGATCTGAGAATAAGCCTTACAATCTAGTAAGAAATGATTTTCATCTTCGATTTTGTTACTTGTACAAAAGTGACATATCCTTTCATTGCGAGGAATGTTTTCGTATCTACCTGTTTCAATTCTAAGTTGATGACTACTTATTCTAAATCTAACTAATGCTTTTCTCGAAGGGTTTTTTCTTGTTAAAACTAGGTACGGCGAGGGGCTATAGTCGTCTTTGATTGTACAATAAAAACTGAGTTTTTGTGATTGTTGAAGGGTCTGATTCCAGTAAGAGACGTATTTATTTTTCATTATGCCGATATACCTATTAACTATTGAGTCACTCAATGAATTACAGGAAAAGTCATAGTTTAGATCATAGTAGTCAACCATTTTCATGAGATTAGAGTAAAAGCTAGTTTTTCCGTTATGATGAAGGTCAATTGAAATTTGTAAGGCCTGTTTAACTATAGAATCTTCATCTTTACCTCTCAGATAGTCTAAGTAATTTAGAATCTTTTTATTTATATCAATGATCATGGGAAATTTACCGAGTTCAGCTCTACAAGCAATGTTGGATGCCTTGTTATGTACTTGTAAATAACGTTTACAGAATTGCAAATGGGTTTTTTCAATTGCAGAGCTGTCCCAGGACTTAAAATCTGATTTAACAAAAGCACCCCAAACTTCACTGTTGTCGGTTAGAATTGGTGAAATCATAGAGTCAAAAATTTTACACGCAAGTGAGGGCTTAAGAAATTTCCAAATCCATGTGCCTGTATCTGTATAAGTTTCCGATACACTACCCCCTCCCTTAAATCCACTGCCCAAAGTATAAGAAGATGCTAACGTAAACAGAAAGAACAGAACCAAAAAACAGTTAAGAACGACTAGTCTGCCTGGTTTTCTTGTAAACGGCCAGCAACAGTCTTGCAAAACTAAAAAAAAACTTATAATCCAAATATGTCACAAAACCGTTAGAACATTATTTTGAACAATGTCCAAGCTAAAATTGTTCAATGTCCGTGTTGATGAAAGAGTTACTGGCAATCACTCTAACGATTCGGATGTCTTCTCTCTCTTCCATGGCGACTTCTTACAGGCTCTAAAGGCTGTTCACCTAAGATTTCCTTTCACCTCTGTCTGTCTCGTTCGGTTGAGTAATTTGTAAGGCACCCTTTTTATCTGTATCACTCATACCAACCTCAGTTTCAACATCCGCATCGGGTTTGCCTTCTTCTGTCACAGCCTCTACCATAGGATCTAGAGGCATCCGGGCTACACTTCCACTAGGCTTGCCTCCTCTTGCCTTAGCCAAAAGGGGGCCACTTGTAATAACAGGCTCAATCTCTTCAGCACCACCAGCTCGAGATACAACAGGCGTACTAGTCTCCTCTCCATCAGAAATCGAGCTCCTCAAAGCAGGACCGAGGTAAGGTTTCAGAAGATCTGCCTAAATCACAGTTAGTTTCGTACTTCGAAGTCTTTGTTTGCGGTACGTTACGTCTGACAACAAGGACACTACTAATACAACTTGGGATTCCTACATTTCTTTCGTTGAATATTGTGCAGCCAAACACCTTCATCACCACCGTAACGTTGTAATGTTCTAAATGGCCGTCCGACAGTGGATGTAGCAGAGTTTTTCTCGTTTTCTCAACGTCCAAGAGCTTACACACTTCTGAAATAATTTTGGACTCTAAGTGCCTTGGTCGCTGTGTATCTCCCGTGGAACCCCGAAAACGACTAATAAATTCACCCACTAGTATAACTTCTCGGCTACCATAAAAGCTTATTGGTTCGAAAACAACAAATTTATTCCCGTGAGGGGTCAGAGGAAGTGGCCTGAATATGTCCATGGCGAGGCGCTCCAGTGGTGCATATTCCACATACTTCTTTTTTAGGGAACGTCTCTCCTCACCAGTGCTCTTTTTGGCTCTACACTCATGACAAGCTCTGCACCACTTCTTACGTTTGAAGTTAGTTCTGTCCAGTAACATCGAGCCCTAAGAGCTTTAAGTGTTTTGTTAACACCCTGACGACTCGCTGTTGTATGGTTAGCCCTTAGTGCTGCCTCTTGCAACTTTTTTGGTACTTAGTTCTGGAACCACTTCGACACTATCTTCGACACAATACTTGATTTCGGAACTCCAACTGGTCCTATTGGGCCCAAAGAGCATTCACGGTACGTTCATAAGGAGAAACATCTTCCCAGTTTGGCCTTGAAGCGCTTGCTTCCTTGAATTGGATCACCTTGAATTTAATATCCTCTCTTCGTTGGCCATAAAGGTACTCACGAGTTCAAGATGGTTCCCATAGGATAGCGTCACATTTAGAGTCAGGCTGATTCGGTGGACAAAGCTCAGTGTTAGCTGACAAGAACTGTCTTTTTCCTGAGCAATTTTCGTTTGCTCTGTCACAAACTTCTCAGTGTCAGTTTCAACAGCAACACTAACCATTTGCTCAATCTTTAGAACCATTATCACAAGGTCTTCGTGGCATGGCGTCCACATTCTGATGCCGCGGACTTTCTCGATTAATAATCTTTTAGCCAAACGAATCCGGGAACTATCCACCTAACAGGCTGCCCCTCTTGTTCTTTCACCTTCAGAACGGTGTGAAGAGGTGCATGGTCAGTTCCTATGCGAAATTTCGGTCCCCGTAAAGTAATGGTGAAAATACTCCACGACGTCCATTACCGCAAGCAATTCTTTTCATCTTAAAAAATCTTGGTTCGCATAAGCAACAGGACTCCACCCCCAACCTTCACCTAACTTAGGACAATTCCATACCATGATTGGTGTCGTCTGTGTCGAGCACAAACTCTGCTGTAAAATCTGGGCAGGTCTTCAACGTGTCAAATGATAACTGGCACTCAGACGTTGAAGCAAAGTCAACATGTGCTTCAGTCAGTTTGTGAAGCGGTCAGGCCACTTGAGCATAATTAGGAATAAAGCGTTGATAGTAGCTGGCAAGTACTAAGAAGCTCTTGGGCGCTTTCCGTTCAACCAAACCTTCCGGTAGCGAATGGAACGGCATTTTCAGGAAATTCCAAAAAGAAGAAAACCTCGTGTGGTATACCAAAATTTTCGAAAATTCCGTTCCGAAAGTTTTCTTTCTTTTCAACTTTACTCGCGTTTTTTTCAGAACTTTCGGTCAGAAATTCAACTGTTATTGGACTTTCTGGAAATTTTCTCGAGAAATATTTGTTCCATTCGCCACCATTTCCAAATTTTCGGAACCTTCTGTAGAATGGAAAGTGCCCCTTTACTTCAGTCACATTCTCTGGCACTAGCCAATCGCACCGCCACTCTCGTCTCCACCGTTGTATATTTTTCGATATGCATTTTAAGAGCAGTCTGAGGTCTGCTCGGCAGCCTCCAACACATGCTATACTAGTCACTGGTTTATTCACACCTTAAACGGTTTGCCGGCCGATGGTTCGTGCTTTGTCCGATGTTTTTAAAATTCGCAGCTAGAGGAACCAGACCAGCCCCTCTAGCAGACACTAGAGTTCTGCCGATGTACAAGTATTTCTCTTGAAAATGAGTGCCGCAAGGTTCCAGGATTTACAGCTCTTGATTAGCAGCTTTGGACGATGATCTGCGATGGATGAGGTGGACGAGTACGACTGTCTCACATTGCGGCTCTATTACAAGACGGCCCGTAATACATCTGAGGCCAGGTTGCTGACCACTCTCTCTACAACGTTCAGTCTCCTCTCCATTGATAACAACTGGTTGCTAGACAATGTCAGTCTTTGCATCATCGTCCGAAATGAAATCCATGCCACACAGCCGGGCAGTGCCAGCCATCCGTGCTGTGTGGAGCTGGCGCTTAAATGAATGCTTTGCACTCGCTTTGTCAGTAAAGGGCCTTTGATACACTGCTTTGTCCGTTCATAGGTCTGACGGGTGACGGCTATGCCATGCTGATGAGCCCCAACGAGGGAAAAACAGCTGTCAATGGCTGCCACTGCCTGGGTTTTATGGCTTTGCACATGTGTGAGGTACTGGCGAGGCTATGTGTTGATCTATGCGTGCCCTTTGCTTTCAGTTTGTCTTAACTCGTCCTAGCCCGGGGGTTGGACACTCCCTTGAAAAGCGAACCTTTTTGAGGTTTCAGGTATATTAACTGGTAGGGAATTTACGAGTACATGAAAGGGTAGGAAACTCTATCGGATTTGAAAGGGCCTTTGATTTAAAATCTTTCTAAAAGACGCGCCTTCTGTTTAACGTTGCACGAAAATGACACAAGACTTCCTGGCTTAGCGATTTATTATTATTAAGTAGGAAAGTTAACGGAATACCATATTTGAATAGAAGGTACTAAAATGTATGCGAGATTGGTACCTTTTCTCTCAAAAATGACATATAAAAGGGAATAAGATTGAACATATTTGTAATTGTAATTGTAATTTTTAGTAATTTGTTTACCCACCTACGAGCACCTACGAGTTCTTAAGAACTCGTTGAAACGTGTCCGTGCGCTCCAGATGGAATTGGAATTGGGAGGTGTTGGTTTTCAAGGAAAGGGGAAAATCGGAGTGCCTGGAGAAAAACTTCTCCGAGTAAGGGAGAGAACCAACCACAAACTCAACCCACATATGGCGTCGAAGCCAGAATTCGAACCCGGGCCATACTGGTGGGAGGTGAGTGCTCTAACCACTGCGCCACCCTTGCTCCCCCTCGGGGAGGAGTCTTCCCGTATGAAACTTTGCTCTGTAATCTCCGGGCGTCCTAGCAGTCCCGTGTCGCACAAAACTTAATGTTAGCTTGGTATTGTTGTACTGAAGATGTCAACAATATTCTTGAAAAGGTAAAAATAAGCAAGACTAACTTTGGTGGTTTGCTTTTGTTTAATTTATTTTTTCATTCTTTGCTCATGCAGTTATTACTTAAACAGTGACCATTTGGTTCCTGCTTTAAGTCAAAGTTATTTACTATCGAAAACTTAAAAGCATGCAAGTAACTTAAAGTATTAAGGACTAAATAATGTTGTCATACTTGCGCAATAATAAACTGAGGAAGCCATGGAACAGCTTTAACTAATTTATTTCTTCTCCTACTGCTTTCTCGGTGAAGGAGATAAATTGTCAAGTGAAGCATACATTTATAGCCATATGCAAATAATATATTAGAATCGGAATGCGTGCTAATACAAGTGCATTGAAGAGGTTATTTTCTGTTTCAATGAAAAAACAGAAACTGAAAAAAAATAAATGATCTTTTGCATAGAAAACATAAATAGTTTATCTTCAGTTAATGAGGCAGTACAGTAAAGCAATTCATCACATTACCGAGTAAGAAAGTAATTCTGAAACGCGGATCGTCTTTGCAGTGGCATGAAATTCCTTGTCTCCTTCAACTTTTTTTTCCTTTTTTTCTGGGCAAACTATTTTCAAATGCAAAGAAATTCTTAGCAGCATTTACAAGCCGCATGTTGGGATGAATGAGCCCGGCCGAAATCGAGCCTACAATTCAGTGAGTAAAATGTATATACAGAGCTGTTAAGCCTAGATTCAAATCTTTTGATTAGTCGCAACACTTCCATACGCCAACAATACGCCAATAATTACTTCCAGCGTCCATCACATGTATACCAGAGCCTGAGACTATGAAATGAAATCAGATAACACAACATTACTGTTATATTTAATTCTTAAGCTTTTGCAGGGCGAGAGCAGATCCTCTACTCTAGATGTATCACAAATCAAGGGAAGTAATTTGATCCCATGGGGTCAAACATCTGAGGTGATATGTAGAGAGGATATCGCTGTTTTCGGTCAATTCTGTACTAAAGTCATAACCTAGCTCTTTTACCCATACACAAAACGCAAATTTCATCAGCGAGCAAAAACCACAATTATTTTTTGGGTGATTATTTCAGTTGGTCCAACTTTTTCAAGTTCCAATATATGTCTATCCTTGCCATCAGTAGCAACAGATGACAGGAAACAGTTTCAATACGTAGACATCGTCTTAAATTACAAGACCAGACCATTATTTTTGGAACTCAATTGATGTGAAGACAAGTTTTAGCTTTTTAAAAAGAGAGCAAATAACGTAACATAGCCCATTTAAAAGTCAGATCGACACTATTTCCTCTGAGTGTGTCCGCTAAGGGAGGTTAGGAGTCTGCGTTTTTTGCTACGCTGTTCGGCTCCTGTCAGTACTCAGACTATGCCTAAAATAAAGCAGGAAATTGGTTGAGGGTCTTGAGGGTATATATGACTAAGCTAACACGGAAAGTTGAGCTATCTGTAGAATTCCGAAAAATTCCTGCCATAAAGGGATATTTTCTCTTGATTCGTCCCAATCAATCAAGCTTTTTTCCATAGTGTCTCATTCATTACTGACAGTAATTCTCTTCCAAACTCGTCCATAAGAGCCGTGCAAAAATTTAAAATTATACAATCTATATCTAACACTAACTATTACGCCTAGTAATGATATTAAAGGCTTAGGATCAGTTTGGGTCCCTGGATAAAAAAGTTGCTCGATGAGCTTCCTCTCCGATTGTAGGACAAATATACTTGTGAGTTGCGAATTTACAATAGTTATGCAATGCTTTCGAGTGGTAAAGTTTTGAATAACTCAAGGTTAAATTTATGCACTAAAATGATGTTTTCCTTCACGATTATTGTTTATTGAAGTGCGATCTACAGTCATTTCAAACGTAAAGTGTTAGAACTGTTTAATATGAACGTGAAAAATATTATTGCTTGAATTCATACCATTATTACCAGTTTGTCAATTATTAAAGATTTCTCGTAGAAAAATGGTCTCATATCACGTGACTTATTAACACAACATTTATTCTTTACAATTTTAAGGACGATGAGTTCTTTATTTGTGCCAAATTTTGATTCAGCCCCATTTTCTATGCCGAAGTTAGAGCCAGTAAATCATTTTTCACAGGTAAACTCATTAGACCCAGGCCTTAAACTACTTGAGTCGGGTATATGTTGCCATTCTGTGGCTACTAATACTGAAAATACTAAGTAAGGCATTCCTTACCTCCCCAAGTGAAGCCAGTAGAATTAGCAACCGCTGTAAAGTTAGCCGTGGGCACATTGGACACCAGATTTTCCGGAAGTGGGGTAGCACGAACCAGACCCGTCGCCTTTTGTATTTCCTTTATGTATCCATCAGTAATCTGTTGCCAAGTATCACCTGAATCACGGCTGCGATACATGTTCATTCTTCGATCAAGGCCATAAAGTTCTTGCCAAGCGGGATTGGACGCCACTACGCTGATTATTGTTGGTTTTATGGCTTCAAAAAAAATGGAACATGAAAGATTCAGTGTCATAGAGAAACAGTTTATCTTTCTCAAACAACCTTGAACTTAAAGACTGAAAGACTGAGACTGATAATATCTAGCGCGGTTTGTGTTTGATAAGGCACGTTTCTCGTTTGTTTCACGATAGTCACTACTAAGTTGAAGTTTATTTTAGCATTTAACATTAAAAACGGAAATTTACATAGTCTCTACACGCACGCAAATAGCT